CAAAAAAGGAACTTATGGTTCCGCAGCCGTGCTGCTGGGTACGAGCTCGACCTGCTGAAGCCAGACACCGACTCTGGGGGGTTTATTACAGGGTTTCTTCACAGCGCCAGGCGGGGAGGACAGCCAGGGCTTTCCAGTTCTAGTTTGGACAGAGGGGGGAGGCTCGCTCAGGCGGTGCCAGGCAGACGCGGCGCGGGCAGCCTGCCCTTGTGCGCCCCTCACTCGCTTTCTGCGTCGCTGTCGGGCCCGAGGACGTCGAGGGGCTGCACCCGCAGGGAGTCGTAGTTGGGCGGGGGGGTGCCGGGCTCAGGGGGCAGCGCCTCGTCCCGGGGGAGGGCGCCCGCGTCCTCGTGCTGGAAGCCCAGGTTGGTGTGAGCCTCCACCAGCTCCGACACCGTCGGGGGCGCGTCCGGGTACCGCGCCTGCGCCCGCTTCTGCTTCAGGCCTTTGCACCAGCCGATGACGTTAATGACGGTGATCCAGAGCGAGTCGATGATGATTTCCCCGAACTCGATGAGGCACAGCACCGAGCCCCCCATCCAGAACCCGAACTGCCCTCCCAGGCTCGACAGCAGCCAAACGATCTGTGGGGAGGAGAGCGGCGTGAGCCGGGGCCTCTGCTCGCCCGGTGCCTGCAGCCAGGCCGGGGGTGAAGCACTCACCGTCGTGGCGGCAGACTCGGAGATGGTGCGGTAGTTGTACTCCTGGAAGTAGATGTTCAGCTTGATGATCCCGTTTCTGTAGGGGACAAACGGCAGCTCAGTGCAGGGCCGGGCTGCGGGCGTCCCCCACCGGGGGCTGCGCACAGGCGTCCCCGGGAACCTCTGTCTGGCACATGGAAGGACTTAGAAAGTGCCCCTGACCGTGAAGGGAAGAGGAGGTTCTGAAGTTCCTCCTGAAGAAGCGCTTGGGCACCTGGAAGCTGCTTTGGGGCTGTTTGCTTTGCTTTTCCCCACTGCCCTGGGTGCTGAGGAGGGGCCGTGGCCCCTCCTGGGTGTTCCTGCATCACCACAGACCGTGTTACAGGGCCGTAACCTGTACAGGTCGGCCAGTATCTGTGAAACCATTTCCTGCTTCTCTAGTGTTCTCCTTGGAGAGAAAAACCTCCTCTTTCCCCCCTAATTCAGGGTTTAGTCTCCCAAAGGCTAAGTCAGCAGTTACTCTAATGGTGGTGCATCTGTCCTCCCTTTGCACGAGCACACGCGTGTGCTGGCCATCTCCAGGGTTCATGTTAATCTAATGTTGACAGGCTCCACAGAAAAGATAAAGTGGTTGTTCCCTTCACTTACCTGTCCAGAGTCACATTTGTTGACATATCCCTTTCATAAGACAGAATATGGAAAATCCAGTCCTAAGAAAACAAAATGTATTCAGAACTGAGCAGAAGCATCTTCTCTGGGCCCCGGCTGGAGCAGGAACCCAAGGGAGTAACATAGTCCTGAGTTCTAATCCAGCTCTATCAGATTAAAAACATGGGAAAATATTGAGTAACGTGTTCAACCAGCATCGCCCACCCCGCTCCCAGTCTGTGGTTACCTGGGGGCTACAGCATCTCCCCGCGCTGCCTCAGCCTGGTCTGACCCTGCATTCGTGATGGCAAGTCCCGGGGGGGCCGCAGCTGCATTTTGCTTTAGTGACCCGAGCCTGTGAGCTCTGATGTGCCCCGAGCAAGGCCAAGGCCGTTCCCAGGAGCCGGGGCAGGGGCCGGTTTACCCCCACAGAGCTCCTGCCTGTGCTCAAGTGCTCTTGTGCTGGGGCTGCACTCAGGCTGTGCTGGCTGCAGCTCTGCCAGGTCGTGGTTAAAGATTACTATTATAAAAATCAAGTTTTTCTATAGGAGATGGATGCAGTGTCCTCGGCAGCCACATGCTGGGATAAATCGGATGCACATTGGAAATCTTTGAACTCGATCTAAGCAACGCAGCCACGAGACATCCCGTCCTTGGCAGGGTACGGCCCGGGGACGCTGCCTGCACCCAGGGGGACGCGTGTGCTCCTCTGCGGGAACTCAAGGTGACGAAGGGTCATCTGGAGCGCAGAGTCGTGCGAGCGATGGCCCGCGGCGTATGTGGGTACCGAGGGGGCTGCACGGCCCGTCCCACGCCGCCCGGTCTGTGCCGTGTAATCCCCGATCCCAGCGGAACGTTCCTCTTCCCACAGGGAGCCCGCGAGCCCTTGGCGCGTCCCGCCCCAGCCCACCTGCTTGTTTGCACACTGAAAATGGGTCGTTTCGAAAGAGGCGCTGGCTACCCGGGCATTAGCTCTGGAAATACCGAGTGATTCACCTGGCTAAGAACAGGTCGTTATTACTGTGTTTCAAAACACGGAATCCGCGTTACCTCCGAAGCTTCAGAGGGCCAGTCTGCCATGGAGATGGTCATCTTGTACTGCGTGTCGCTGCAGAGAGGAAAAGAGCGTTAGGACAGGAGTTGCCCCGTCTCTGAAGTCACTGGGACTTCAGTTCTGAGGCAGAAAAGCAGCCCCGCAGGATTTGCTGCCGTTTTAGAAAGGTCGGAATTGATGGGAGGCGGAATGCAGAACCTCCTGCACCTTCACAGCCGCCGGGGACGGCTTCGGTACTCACTTGCACGTTTCCTTACAAGAGTCAATACAGATCTGCCTGTGTCTTATGCTTGATCTCAGTGAGGAGTAGCAGTATGCTGTTTGGTGGGAACAAAAAACCAAAGCAGCTGTTTAGAGCAGGACCACGCTTACTGGATTATAGCAATTTCATTTAATAAAATATTTAGGTAGGAACCTGATGCCCACGTTTGCCGTCTTCCCCTTGATAAACCCAGGCAAAAGGGTCAGACCATTTAATAATACATTAAAAATAATTCTCTGCAGATCCAGCTTGCCCCACAGCCGTGGCTTTGGCCCAGCCCTGGGCAGCTGCAGGGGCAGAGGGCGGGTGCCCGCCCGCAGCCTGGGGGCCCTGCCCGGCCTTGTTTCGGGACGGAGCTGTGCAGGCGCGGAGGCCTGGGGGCTGTGTGTCCCCCTCGTCTCCCCCTTTGGTACCCAGAGGCTCCTGTCGGCCGGAGCCAGGTCCCGGGGAGAGCTCTGCCCGGGGGCAGCGCGGAACCCGAGGCCCCTCAGCCTGTGGCCAGGACCCACATTGTGCCCCCTCTGCCCGGCACTGACCCCAGCGGCCGCGGGGAGACCCGACGCTGGCAAAAACCACGGACCCTCCGCCCTTCGGCAACAGTAACGCCCGTGGGCTCCCGCCCCGCTGCGTGCCAGCGCCCTGCACGGCTGCGCCATCCGCTCTGTCCGTGCTCTTACCCCAGCCCGGGTTATCTTCGTTATTGCAATAATTTACCCCCTCGGGTAAAGGGAACATATAGTGACCGCATCCACAGATCTCCATCATGTGATTTTGGAAGCAGGAGCGCAGGCAAGCCTGGAAAGGGAAGAGGGAGCGGGTTAGACTGGGCTGACCCCCCCTGCCCCCTCGGCGCCGCCGGAGCCCGCGCTGGCTCTGAGCGTGACTCGGCCCCGGGGAATTTCTCTCTCTCACGATGAGCAGAGGATTCCGTGGCTGCGGACGGAGGAGGCTGAAGCCGCAGGGGGAGCGGGGAAGCTGCCATGTGCAGGGTTGCGCTGCCGTTACCCTGGTCGGGATGATGCATTTTTACGGCTGCTCCTGGAGCTTGTAGGGCACGTTCCAGTTGTGAGCAGCCCATGGGTAAGTCACCTCACGGGAGCAAAAGGAACTCGGTGCCTGCTCCCAGTTGCAGAAGAAACTGCTCGTTCCTGGACTGGTTTAGGGCTTCATGGAAGTCATGGGGAGTTAAAGAATAAAAATACTGTGTTACACCCCTGGGCACTTCTGCTGTCGCCAGGCTTTATCCAGCGTACTGACAAAGGGCTGGTTTCCACTTTAAAGCCAAGACTCTAAAAATACTTTGACACAAAGAGCAGGTTTTAGAAATCTGAATTATCTTATCGGTGCATCTGCTTCTCTCCTTGCGAGGGTTGCAGCCGCAGCTTCGGCAGCGGGCGAGCCGGGCTGCAGCGCTGCCGTTGGCTCGCTGAGGCATGAAGTTAATCACCCGGGACTGGAGTGGGGTTCTGGATGAAACGGTGCACAAAGCAATAACAAAGTCTATGAGAAGATAATTAAATTTAACAGCTCCAGCTAGGCAGAACAACCAGAGAATTTCTGTGCGATACGAACTGCTTGCAGAGTTTGTGACAGCCGAAGCCTGACTTTGCTGAGAGGCCTCTGACGTGACGTGGATTACGTGGATGTGGAGCCCCGGCCAGCATTTAGCAACTTTTAAGCAATAACGCAATCGAGTATTTGCTTAAACGTTATGCAGGCATCTTAAAAAGGAGGGCAAAGCGGTCCAATTGTTATAATTAAATAAAGGCAGAAGTACAACCCCCCTGCCAGACCGAGGCCCTCCTTCTCTGGGGTGCACTCCTCAGGCAAACGTCCCCCAAAGATGGTTTTGATGTTTTTCCTTATTGCCAGATCTCACCCTCCAGAAATGCTTCTCCCTTATGCTATACCCTGTTACAAATTAACCAGTGCTTAATGTTTACACTATATTTTTCTAGAGATTCAAGGTTTACAAACACTCAACTTTCTCATCCCACTTTTCAAGTGAAGAAAAGGCAAAGGTCTGTCTTCATTTCCTATGCAAAACCAGCAGGCATTTTCAGGGTGAAAAATGACTTAATTCCCTTAAGGGGAAAAGGATTAAAAAGAGTAGGAGTGCTCAGGAGAGGATTATTCCTGTGCATTCCCCTCCTACCGGGGGTAAGTGTTGCTCACACAGAGGACGGCAGTGCAGCAGCTCCCGGACAGACGGACAGACGCCTGCGCCCCCCGTCGTGCCCCGAGCCGCCGGAGCCGGCCCCGCTCCCGAAA